GAACAAGAAATGACTACTCAAGCAAGCTTCGTCTGATTTTCGCAGCTGTATATTTAGCAATTTAAATTGTCAGTGTTTGCTCCAGCTATAAGAGGATGATACAATTCAACAATTCAGTTTAGTCGCAGCCATTTCATCTCAATCCATTGTTATTTATCGCAGCCAACCTTTAAAATTGGATTCGCACTTTAAAATATCACTTATCAATGGTTTGAAATTGAAAGTCTTATTCAAAGTTGATTAATTTTCGGTGAAATCGATAAAGATTGAAACAGAAGGAAAGAAACGGGCTAAAGAAGCTACTCATAAGTACAGCATTGAGCATTTTTAAGATTTATTGAATATGCTGCCAATTCGTACCCATGATCTTTATCAGATTATGAAGACATAATAGAGTTGCCAGAGAATTGAAAGAGTATTGAAATGATTAAAGTCAGAAATGGTTACCATATGATAACAATTGATAGCAACCTGATGATTAACCATCTTCATCAATTTTTTGAAATATTTTAAACAATGGTAAGTAAATAGTTTCCTTTTTTTATTAATCAACCTCAAGATACATTATTAAGATTAACATCTTGTCTTCCAACAGATCAATTGTTTATTTCAAAGTTGGTTCCAGTGCAATACTTTCCAGTTGATTTTATGAGCTACCATTTGGTTTTCCTGAAGTCTCAAGTTGTGATACATTTCTTGAATAAACCCATAAAGTAAAGTAAAGACAGTCAAATGGTTGGTCAAGGAAGATTGAAATCACAATCCAGTTCCGTCAAAATTGTTTTTTGCAAAATAATGTTGATAAACGGATACAATTTGGTTGCAACAAAACCAAAGTACAGATAAAGTGGACTTTATTTACATTGAAGGGTTAATATAAATGATTTATAACGAGAGATAGACAGACACATAAGGAAGCAAAAGTAATGAACTAATTAAGTTGAATTTAGATGGCGGATGGCGCATAATGTGGCTTATTCCTGACATTGAAAAATCACAAAAATTAAGCAAAAAAAGGAAAAAATAATTAGAATGAGAAGGATTCGTTTGAAATAGATATGGCGAGATTCAAAAACTGATATACTTACGACGCTTGAGATTCAGTGTTACCAAGATGTTCACCAACATCCATGCTTAAGCAACCGGCACCACCTCCGAAACCAACACCTTTAGGACCATATTTACGACCATAACACTGTTTACAGTAAAGTTCATTTGGTCCATGTTCAGTGCAGTTGGTCGAGTCGAGTCTCTTGTTGCAAAGGCCACACTTGAAGCAACCCTTGTGCCATTTAGATCCACCAGCAAGAACCTCTTCTGCGGCGTAAACAGACTTACTACATCGTGGACATTTAGGATGTTCAACTGGCTTGAAAGGCATTATTTGTTAATCCAATTAATACACTTGGAACTCAAAGAAACAAGATTTGAAGCTGTTAAAAATGTTAAGATGTTAACTTTAACTTCACAGTGACTTATGATATGAATTGGTCTGGTTTGCATTCAATTATATCCTAAAAGTTTCGATGTTTTCACTCAGACTCCCCTTTTCAATTATCATGGGTTCAGCCTCTTGCTCAGTGAGTGGGAGATGAGGCAAGATGATGATGGTGAAAAGGAAGAAAGAAGAAGATTAAACGCTCAACAATGCACACGAAACTTTATTTGCTTGGCATTTACCAAAATTAACGGTTCCTAGTGAAAAAATGTTATGCACTGGTTTGTAAACTCTGGTAGTGATTAAGAAAAAGTAATGTAATCCATGTTTTCAAGGAAATTTCATTGTCTATTGGGTTTCATTTTCTAGAAATTATTCAACAAATCAACATTTCTAGTCTGAATAACAACTATTCAAGAAATTGGATGAAACATTAATTTTTGTTGGTGATTTTTGAGCATCAAATCTTGAACATTTGGTTGAAATTCAATGAAGATCCATCACAACTTGATCTTGTTAGTAATGTAAAAATTGGCAGACATTGATCATTGAAATATTGAGACAGCTAGGTAATGGATTAATTTTGATGTGACTTTTTAATTGTTGTGTATCAACGTTTCAATTGGATTGGCTTTATCCATTGTAAGATGCAACAATTTTAATGGTTCAATGTTGCTCTTAATCAGCTAATGTGACGATATTTATGCAATCTTTTAATAGACTTTTTTGAAATCTTGTTTTATGAATATTACCATAATAAGCTCTGCTATTGAGTCTCAATTTTCACTCAGCCCAATTTTATTTCACTCAGCACTATTAAATTCAATTTAAAGTTATTTTTAAATATGTTTTGTAAACATTCAAACAGTCAGCCTTATTACCAAAACTAAGTTGAAGGTTATTCAGTAAATTTCGAGAATTTGCTCCTTTTATCTCTTCACAATTAGTCATCATCAACAGCATCTTCATCTGTATCCAAAAGATGATTCTATCATCAAAATTAACGGCAAAAACTTTGCACTCAACGAAGACAATCTCAATTTTAGTTCAAGTCACTAGCTTTATGATAACATTAACCTTCATCAAAATTATTAACCAATGAAATAAATAAAATAACTTGTCACTGTTGTTGTAGACATTTGTTAGTCATTCACAATTTACTCGAATGTAAATTAACGATTAAATCTGTCCACTGATTCAATCAACTTTCACAATATCATGTGTATCAAAATTTAAATCCAATAAGAAATGGATTATAAATGGATCTTAAAAGCACTTCAAGAGTTGTAATTTGTAGATTCAGCCAACTTGGACATTTGTATTTTACACATTTTGGGATTACAATAATAACTATGTTAGTAACAATTTTTATCGACAAATGATAAGTTTCAGCTCTTCCACTCTTACGATGGCAGAAAGCGTTTGTTTAACTGAAAATCGAAATGATCTGTTTTACAGAAACAGAAATTTGTATTTCTCAAAATAAGTATATTTTCTGGTTCATCATCGAAAGTTACTTCATTGAAATGAGTTTCACTAAAAAAAATGCTTCCATTAATGTACAAAAATCTGCAACTTTGGACTCGATTTTTTTGAATTTTTCATGCTTCTGTAAACACACCAAGTCTCACTTGTCAGCTCTTAACTCGAAAGTCAGTTTTTCCAAAGAACTTCGAGCAAAATCAATAATTTTTTTGATTTTTGCTGTTTAATTGATTATCCTGCGAACTGAATTTTCTCGTTTAAACTTGATTCTTGAATTTTAATTGAAAGAAGAAGAATGGCATTTTTTGGTCATTTAGTGGTTTCATTGTTTTCTGCCATTTTTAGTCGATTTGGATTGTTTTGATCTTTAATGAAACCAGAAATATCTTAACATCAAATTAAATCTAAAACTATATCAGTATTATGATTTTTAATTAATTTTGAGATCGGTTGAAAGGCAAATCATAATTAATATATAAGAAATTTTCAAGTCATTCATTGATGAATCTTATGCATTAATATCAATTTAAAGAGCAAATGAACCGGATTTAGAAATGATAATAGATTAATTGTAACTGTTCTGGATTGTTTTGAATTGATTTAGCTCAACAAATCAAATGACAAATCGGTGCAGCGTTGCTTTTTGTTCTTGAATAAAAATCATAATCATAGATGAAAAACATTAAATAACATGTTACATAGTGTATTTCAGATCAGTCTCGGTACTTCTGAACCGATCTCCCAATCAAATGCAGATTAATTGCAGATAAATTACAGATTAAATAAACAAACAAAGTTCTGTAAAGTCACATTTTTAATTAAAATCAAATTTTGACCAATTAATCGACATTGACTTTTCGATGCAAAAAATTTAAGAAAAGATGTGACATAATGAGCATGCTTAACAATATGTTCAAGCAAGTAAAAGCTTTCGAGTAAAAACATTGTTACATTGTGAATCAATTTAGGAAATCTTAATTCGAACCTTATTCTAATTATGTTTAATCTATAATTTTGCATGAGTAATTACTAGTGCACGGAAAAATCTGAGTAATTCGGTAATTCATCATTGTCTAAAGGATCCTCACTATATCATGGGCGCATCATTTTTCTGTATTGTGTTTTTCACTGCTATTTGGATCGGTGTAGGCTGGTTTGCTCCTAGATTCATTCCTCCAACGGTTGACAAACCAATAATTCACATGTTGTTATTAATGACTGCTGTTTGTTGCTATTCAATGTGGTTATTTACTTACATGGCCCAAATGAACCCCTTAATTGGTCCACAATTATCAACTGTAACTCAACATATTATGCAAAGGGAATGGTCATGATCTCCAACCTTACTTAACATGTTTGCTTTTCTCTGTTTTAATGTCTGTTTATATTTTGGGTTTTCTGGTTCATTCCATTGCTATTTATTTTGATCAATCATTGTTCGTTTCTTCATCTTAATTATTTCACCCTAAAAAATAAATTTTAGATTGTATAAAGTTCCAAGAATCATTATCTATTAACATTGTTCATCCTGAATATTCGTTAATTTATCGGTACATCAATCGCCTGCTCATCAAGAGACTCTACCAATTGTGAAACAATGTGTAACAATTGATTTGTTTTTATCTATGGATTGAAAAAATTATTAGAGAATACTATTTATTAAAAGTTATTGTAATTATCATTGAAATCACAATTGCACAGAAATCATATTCTGATCATTTGAATAAGATAATCAAGGTAAGGATTGATATATAAATGGTGAAAATGTGTGACAAAAACAATTGTTCAATATTGTTTCATTTACCATACATAAAGTAACAATCATGTTCTACATAATTTTATTTTCATTTCTTTTCTCCTCAATCTATGCCAATGATTTAACACCAATCGTAAAGATATCAAATGGCCCTATCCAAGGTAAATTTGTCAATTATCAAGACACAAAAGTAGCTGAATTTTTGGGTATACCTTTTGCTAAGCCGCCAGTTGGACCTTTAAGATTCCAGTTGCCAGTTAAACCAGACGATTGGACTGATGTTAAATCAACAGTTAACTTTGGATCAGCTTGTGCACAAAGAGGTCAACACATTAAACCATCGGAGAGCAATGAAGATTGTCTGTATCTAAATGTTTATTCAACGGAATCGACATTCAATTCATCTTCTACTCGACTTAGACCAGTGCTTTTCTGGATTCATGGAGGAGCTTTGACTACGGGATCTGGAAATGAATTTTACGATGGTGTTCCGATGGTTCCTCTACACGATGTCGTCCTTGTTACTCACAACTATCGTCTCAATGCTTTTGGTTTCATGTATTTTGGTGATAAAGAACCAAGAATCCCAGCAAACATTGGTTTGAGAGATCAACTTTTAGCTCTTCAATGGGTTAAAGAAAATATCGCTAAATTCGGTGGTGATCCTGATCAAGTGACAATTTTCGGAGAATCTGCAGGTTCCATGTCGGTTTCAGCCCATATTTTATCACCTCTATCCAAAGGTTTATTCAAACGAGCAATTCTCGAGTCAGGAACCATTTTGAACCCAAAAGATGATTTAGATTTCTTCGTGCGAAATGCCTTAACTGTACTCAACCGAACCTCATGTGCCAACACAAATGACATTCTTAAATGTCTTCAAGGACTCCCTGTGTCCGAAATCATTGATAGCCAATCAGATGGGATTCTAAGGTTCAGATGGACATTTGGAGATGATTTTCTTCCCTACACACCAATGGAAGTCTTTTCTCAAGGCTTGTTCGATAACTCGTTTGACCTCTTACTTGGTAATGAGAAGAACGAGTTCTCCGTCTTCATGACAGCTCTTGATTCAAAACAATTCAACCCACTAACCCCAGCTCCACTAGATTACCAAAAAGCGCTTATCTATCTTTCCCTTATTTTCCAAAGAGAATCACTAGATTTTTACCGCGAACTGTACTTTGGTCCTTATACCAATGATTCAAATTATTTAAGATCTCAAATTGAAAAGGCTTACAGTGATTCAACTTTAGTTTGTCCAACTTACATTTTTGGTTTGAAATACGCATTAAAAGCTAATAAGAGTGGAGGTAAAGTTTATGGTTATTATCACACACAAAAACCAGCTTCATCCATTTTCAAGGTTTGTGATGTTAGTCCTTGGATGGGTACTTGTCATGGTGCTGAACTCCCTTATGTTTTTGGTAATCCTTTGGTTGCCCCAGGTTATTCACAAAAAGATGTTGATTTGAGTCGTGAAATTATGAAAATATGGACACATTTTGCTGAATTTGGGTGAGTTAATTTAATTTTGACAATTTTTGTTACCACGATTTAGTGAATGTAGTTTTTAAAATAAAAATATCTTTTGTTTATTACAGCTATCCTCCTAAAGTTGGCGGAACCGAATGGAAACCATTAACTGAAGAATTATCAGCTATGATCTTAAACGTTGATGATTTAGGCAAACTTGAAAAATCTAGAATTGAGTTTTGCCATCAACAATGGGAAGGTTTTGTTAGTCGTGGCAGTTTACAATTGGAATATCTTTTGGCCGCTGCTTAATCGATGTATAAATAAATTTAAAAAGTTTTAATTTAATGAGAATTCAATAAATTCAATTCACGAAAATAAAGAGAACAAAAATTTAATTTTAAGAGTTATTTAATTAACAATGAAATCAATAAATACATGGTGGGTTTAGTTTAGATTCAAATGAACATATTTTTAAATTTTAAGCGACATTTGACAAGCACTTTCTTTGAAAAGTAAATGAAAACATTGAAATCTATGTAAAAAAATGAAATGTAAAATAGCAACAGATCTAATCTACTTCTTCAATAGTAGGTCCACCAGGTCCACCTGATTTTGGAGCTCCACCGGGAGCACCTCCTGGGAAGCCACCAGGCATTCCACCGGGCATACCTCCAGCACCAGGAGCTCCACCGGCACCTTGATACATTTTAGTAATGATTGGATTACAAAGTTCTTGTAATTCTTTTTGTTTAAACTCGAATTCCTCCTTCTCTGCCAATTGATTAGCATCTAACCATTTTAAAACTTCATCAACTTTATCAGCAACTTTTTTGCGGTCTTCTTCAGGCACTTTATCTTTGATGTTAGGCTCTTCCATAGTCTGTTTCATACTGAAAGCATAACTTTCTAAGCCATTCTTAGCAGCAACTCGTTCTTTAACTTTTTCGTCATCTTCTTTATATTTTTCAGCTTCGTTAACCATCTTTTCAATTTGTTCCTTAGAAAGACGTCCTTTATCATTGGTGATGGTAATTTTGTTTTCTCGGCCGGTACTCTTATCGACTGCTGATACATTTAATATACCATTGGCATCGATATCGAAGGTAACTTCAATTTGTGGAACACCTCGAGGAGCTGGAGGAATACCGGTTAATTCAAATTTACCCAAAAGATTATTGTCTTTGGTCATTGCTCTTTCACCTTCGTATACTTGAATTAGTACACCAGGTTGATTATCTGAGTAAGTAGTGAATATTTGAGATGTTTTAGTTGGAATGGTGGTGTTTCGCTTAATCAGTGCAGTCATTACTCCACCAGCAGTTTCAATACCAAGAGATAGTGGAGTTACATCAAGAAGTAGTAAATCTTTTACTGTTTCATCCTTATCACCATTAAGGATTGCAGCTTGAACAGCTGCACCGTAAGCAACAGCTTCATCTGGGTTAATACTCTTGTTGAGTTCTTTACCATTGAAGAAATCTTGAAGAAGTTTCTGGATCTTTGGAATTCTTGTTGAACCTCCAACAAGTACAATTTCATTGACTTGAGCCTTGTCTAGTTTAGCATCACGAAGAGCCTTCTCGACTGGATCCAATGTTGATCGGAACAGGTCTGAGCAGAGTTCTTCGAAACGAGCTCTAGTGATTGTTGAGTAGAAATCGATACCTTCATGAAGAGAGTCGATTTCAATGCTGGCTTGAGTAGATGAGGATAAGGTTCTCTTTGCTCGTTCACAAGCAGTTCTTAATCTCCTAACAGCTCGTTTGTTGGATGTAATATCCTTCTTATGTTTCCTTTTGAATTCTTCGATGAAGTGGTTGACCATTCTGTTATCAAAGTCTTCACCACCAAGATGAGTATCACCAGCAGTTGATTTAACTTCAAAAATACCGTCTTCAATGGTTAATATTGATACATCAAAAGTACCACCACCCAAGTCAAAGATCAGGATGTTCTTTTCACCACCACCTTTCTTGTCTAGACCATATGCAATAGCTGCTGCAGTTGGCTCGTTAATAATTCTCATAACATTTAAACCAGCAATAGTACCGGCATCTTTAGTAGCTTGTCTTTGACTATCATTGAAGTAAGCAGGTACAGTTATAACAGCATTGGTAACAGGCTTACCCAAGTATGCTTCGGCGGTTTCCTTCATCTTGGTGAGAACCATGGCTGAGATCTCTTCTGGACAGAAGGTTTTAGATTCACCTTTGAACTCGACAGAAATTTTAGGTTTAGTAGCATCATTGACGACTTTGAATGGCCAATGTTTCATATCAGCTTGAACGGTGGCATCATCGAATCGTCGACCAATCAACCTTTTAGCATCGAACACGGTGTTAGATGGATTCATAGCAACTTGATTTTTGGCAGCATCACCAATTAACCTTTCGGTATCAGTGAAGGCAACATAACTAGGTGTTGTACGATTTCCTTGGTCATTTGCAATAATTTCAACTTTTCCATGTTGGAAAACACCAACACAAGAGTAAGTTGTACCAAGATCAATACCGATTGCAGGAGTTTTACTCATGATGAAGTATTAAATAGGGCACAGAATTAAATAAAAATGAAGCTTTAAAGTGTAATTTGTAATTTTTAAGAGAGTTTGTTAACAACGTTTGAATCTGATTCTTTACTGCTTTTAAAGGTTCGCAGTTAGCTTATATACTTAAAACTTAATTTTACTCGAAAGATCCAGAAAATGATAGAGACTCCGCCTTTTTTCTACCCGTTTCCATGGTTTCCAATACAATACTCGGAATCATTTAAACTCACCAATTTATTTGAGTAGGATGTTTCAACTTATGATAACACCTTAATCATAATCCAGAGTTAATTAATTACTTTGAATTTAAGTATCAATTCATTTCACAGCATATTAATATTTCCCTTCTTATCACTAGATAAATCCATAAATCAAAAGTCAAGGATATTTCTACCTAAGTCTGGACCACAAAAGTTAATTTTGTTTCAATATTGAATTTCAATTCTTGATCATTATTCCTCAATGCTTTTTGAAATTTCCTCAGTGTTTAATTACTGTAAATTCTGGATTATCTTTCAAAGAAATCTTAAAATCTGTAAATGTAAAATTTCTTGAGATGAGATTAATTGGCCAAAAAGCTTGCTCATCATAATTTTTGTGTCATGTTTCATATCTCTTGATTAGTCAGCTATTCAGTCCATAATATTATAATATTATCATTACAGAAGTGGTCAGGGTTAAGTTAAAAAAGCTGTGTTGGCTGGCCGGTCCACACAATCAGAAAGTTAACTTTACCCTGACTTGTATTTTGGCGGTTTCTCCTAAAAACCGTTAACATTTGAACAAAAGTTGAGTGATCTTTCTGATGATTAGTCATATAGCTCGAGGAACAAGGTAACAGTGAAATAATCACTGATCATTGTTTGAAAAGGTGAATAGCCGACTTGTAATTACACCGCTGAATTATTGTTAACAATTAACCAATCCATGGCCACCTCCACAACTCATCTGCATGAGGACAGTGAAAAAAGCCTGGGTGTCTTTTCCTATAGGCTGCATCAGAGAAAGAGTTAAGTCCATTGGCCTTAGATGAGAAGATCTTTCATCGGTTCTAAATAAGTAGGAAGTAATCAAACTGGGGATTTCTTTGAATCATTATTAATCTTTACAGTGCAAGGGTTAAACTTAAATTAATCAGTTTGATGACCCTTAAGGCCATAATGAATAGATTTTATCCAAAGAAGAGAGATTGTTTCAAACGATTCCAGGCTTTAGGTTGCTCTAAACACTAGTGAAGACCAATGGGACGATAAACAGTAAAAGACTTTATTTTGAGTAAAGTTTGTCAAAAAAACGTCGAGTTATTATTAACAGGGTTATTTCTGGTAAGTAATTTAATAGGTTTAATTGCTATTAATAGACATCAGTTGTGAGATATACTGTTAGGGTGGTTGGCTGTTTAGAAACATTTCCAGAACACTTTACATGGATCCCAACGTTGATTTTTAAACAAGATAAGGAGTCGACTTAGTGACATGACAAATCAATCAATCATTCAGATGAACACTTCTGTAACAGCTATCCTTGTGAGTAATAATCTGAATCATAATTCGCAATGAAACAAATTCAGTATAACCATAATTAACTACGAAATCTAGAAATCACTCTGTTTTATTAACAGTGTTTATGTTGGGAAAAATGACGCGTTTTGTTTTCATTTTTTCAATGTCGCCATCTTCCGAGTATACGTAAACATGGATATAAAACGATGATATAATGATTATTATTGTCAATATTTCATTTAATTCCTCTTATCGTTTGTGCTAAATTGAACCTAAATCATTGGATTAATTAATTGTTGATAGAACTGCAGAAAAATGAGAAAATAGAACGCAATTATTCAGTAAAATCTAGTCATTCCTGGTAAGATATTTAATGAAACTGTATCAATGTTTACATCAGTTTCCTGGAATGGAATTAAATTGCTAATATGATTGAAAATTAGTATCGTTATGATTCATTCATATATCTAGTGAATATGACAAATATACAAGTCACGTGTAAAACAAATCAACAATCATTTGAATATTCATCCTTTCCTGAACAGCTGGATAAAATATTTGGCGAGAAACTTCGAGATTTCCCTCACAATGTAAGATAAAAATTCAAATCGACTTCCAAGCTGAAATAGATTATTTGTTTGTTTTAATATTGATTTTATGGTAAAGTAAATAATAACAAATTGTCAACTTGAATGTATTAGCTGATGCATCTGATTAATCAATGCTAAATACACTTACAAGTAGCTTTATACTGCTTTGTTGCTAACGGTTATCCGCTCGGTGAAAGGTCAAAAACTAAATATTATAACAGCAACAACAAAGCGAAGGAAAAACAATAGAAATTAAATTTTAAGCTTAAATCTTCTAATAGGCTCGACAAATCATTCAGTTTGCATTGCACATCGATTGTCTTATCATGGTCACTGCAATTACTACTTTTTAGCTATTTTGTGATTATGGACCCAAATAACCCATTTTTATTTGATTTACTCCGTTTAGTAATTGACTCAAGAAGAAACACCATGATTGCAAATGTCTCAATAACACTAAGAACTTTGAATATCCAGATTAAATTTTTGATTGATAAAGGAGCTGAGATTGTTTTTTCATCTGCGACTTTGGACTGCATACACTGACTATAGATTTCGGCTCGAGTTGTAGATAGATCAATCCGTTGAATGACTTTATTATCAAAATTATCTGTTTCAAAGACTCTGTAAGCAGCCTCGTTGGCTGAACGAGCAACTTTAGGATCAGTAGACAGACTTAAGACAAATTGATACAACAATTGACCAACTGAAGTCTTGGATATATACACAGGACTGCTGTTTTCATCAACTGGACCATCAAGCATGCAAGTCATCCCTTTAAGACGAAGGCCCACAGTTGCATCTTCAACAAGTACTTGATGACTATCATAAATAACATCAATCAACTTAGAAGTGGTTGCCTCTTCTGGTTTAATTAATCTCAATCTAGATGCAATTTTTTGGTACTCAGGAGTACTTGGATTCTGAATCGAGTATCTACAAAAGAGCAGACCCAAAGCGGTCGGTGTCATTTCATGGTCCAAAACATCCTTTATGGTATCAATGTGCAGAAATTTTCTTGATCGTATCAAATCTGTTTGGAATGAAGTCGATAAAATAAGATTAAGAAAAAAGATGAACCAGGAAAAACTGAATCCAATCAACAGATTGCTACCACGATCTATTTTTCTTCTTCCAAGAGCGATTTCATACAAGTTCCAAAGCATTAAAGGCCGTTCATTCACATAATATTTGACCAGATATTTGTTAACCAATGTAAGTACAATGAAAACAAAAAGTAACACAAGAGACAACATAATCACCCACACGTCCAACTTATAAATGATGGAAAGGAAATCTTCTGATTTCAAATCAATTCGCATTTCGGGTTTGTTGATTAGATGACATTCGCTCTGTCTGATAATTGGGCCAATATTCAAGTTTACTGGAATGGACGAGAGCTGATTTTGAGTGATCATGTTGGCATAATCAACAGCTCCAGTTTGAAGGAAACGTAAAGCACCAGAACAGTTTCCTTTCTCATTGCAAAATTCAGTCTCTCTAGGACCCAAATCAACCAAAGTTACATTGAAAATTTTGTACAAAAAATAATGGCGAGCATAATCGAGTGGTGCGTAAACGCCTTCAATGGTATTATCCTCACCAACATACAAATATGGTTCATGGTTGGGACAACCAATTTTCAAAGGGAGTTTCATCGGTGTTAAACTTGTAATAACTTGTTAAGTAAATGTGTTTACAGAATTGTTTTCAATAGTCAAGTGTTGACAATTCAGATCAGCTTTGAAATACGCCTCTTCAATCAGCTCGAGCTACAGAAGTCTTTCGACTAATATCGATTTGAACATAAGTATCTATTTGATTGTTATTTAACTCATCACATTCTTAATCAAATTGTCTGGTTAATGATTATATAAAACAATGGCAACATTAATTATTATGATAATCATGTTTCAGTCAACCTGCGGTTGCTTCTTATAATTGCCTTTTTCCCGTTAATATCCATTAGTCATCGTTAAATATCGATTAGTTAAGAATTTTTCATGTTTAGAATTTTTAAATTCAAGTGTTGATTAATAGAGAGTTGAGCAAATTGATTCACCTAATGTTACTTTATTCCTGTAATTATTCCTTGTTAGATAAAGTGTTCAAACTGATGTCTTTTTCAACTAATGATTGACTTCAAACTGTAAACTCAGCTATACGATTTGAATCTTAATTTTCTGCCACATATTTACAAATTGTAATATTTTCAAAATTGATTGATTGGATTGTAAATAGCAGTTGGTTTACTTTTTGGTGAATTGCGTTTCGCGTTTATTCAATACAAATAGGTCTTGAAGACGTAGTTGTTAAAGCAATTTTAATTCATCTTTTGAGTAAATCAAACGCAATTGAAAAACAATTGTGTCGACCATTGACAAAGAGATGAGATGTAAGAAATTTATGATACATTTAAATACAATTTATTTTCATCTCCAATGTAAAATCGTTTAATGTTACAATGAAGAGCTGAACATTCAAGGTGTTATTTTAAGCGCCACCATTCAGTTTAAACTGCTCATTTTATGGCCTCATCTGTCTTTTAAAATATTTGCTTCAATATTATGCACATTGACAGAGACGAAAAATTTTGATCACGAAATAAAGATTTGTCGAAAAATTGAGAATCCTTAGTTAAGTTCCTTCTGTGATTCAGGCTTGATTGTTTGTAGTTAATCAGACGGATAAAAAGGCGCAAAATAGGGACTTCACATTTTTAGTTTTAATGTTTTTTGGACATGTTTGCCAATTAGGATTAAAACCAACCAGTGTTAATCAACAACTTTAAAAGTAGATTAAGATATGAGAATCCTCTTTTTACCATGACAAGATTGATTCTTTATATTGATAATTTACAACCAATTTTTTAAATAGCTGCTTATGACTGTTGTTTGTTTCTCTCAAATTTTCAATTTAAAGCACGATTTGAAGACTGACTGGTACGATGAGGCAAATAAATATGAACAAAAACTGATCATAAAATCTGTTTTTGATCACTTGGATCTATGCTTAATTTATCCTTTAAGTAACAGTATTTAATTTACAAAGCTGGTTGGTAAAAGTTGACATTGCCTTCAAGGCATCCTGATGCTAGCATGAAATTGTTCGGTGAAAATTTAGTTGTTACAACAAGGTTTGAATGATGCACGATGACTTTAAGCTCATGTAATGGCTGTGGGTTATCACTGGTTGCGGAGGACATTTCACTACAATCTTGGTTAAACGAGAGAAATCTTATTCCACATTCATATGGAGAACAGATTATCCTACCATCGGGAGAAAAACACAATTCCTTAATGAAACCCGGACCTACATTCAACTCTTCACGGTAATGAGTTAACCTGTCTAAATTACGATAGATTCTCGGTGGATCTGGAGTTCCGGGTTCTATTTGACGATAACTAGCATTTGGTGCTAAAATGGTTGCATGAGCACGACGGTTCAAAGTTCTAGCACTAATTATGACAACAGGACTAACATGAAGATCAGACACAGATGAACTGTAGGATGTTGATGAAGATGTATTATTAATTGCTGTTGTTGTTGTGGCGGTGGTTGATGATGTATTTGAGGTTGAAGATAGCGAGGAAGACGTTGCTGTTGGTGATGACTGAACTGCATTACTGGTAATGCGACTGTTAAGTGTTTGAGCAATGTTTCTTGTGTTTGATCCACTGGATGCTGATTCATTTATGTCTGAGGTTAAATTGGTTGACATGATGGTTACTCGAGAACTGGGATGGCTGACAAATATGCCTTGTTTGGGCACATCAATAGGAACAGTCTCGTATGGCCATTTATCACCTGTTAACATGAAAAAAGATGAGAAAAGATTAATTAGATTAACTGGAAAATATAATTAAATGTAATCTAGTAATTGAATTTACCTTGAATATCGTGGACACAAGTCCATTCAGAATTTTCATCCCTGCTTATATTACGAGATATGATTGACCAATTATGAGGATGTACATCGAGAGAAAAAATAGAATGTGATTCATTGTTGGGAGGAAAGTCAGATATTAATTCAATTCGATTTCGTCGAGCACTAAACAATGGATTAAACCATGAACCAAAATCAAATCCACATGAATGCCGCTTTTGCATGAGTCGGTATAAATCAGATTGAAAACCACTAAGATCCTTTTCCAGTTTTTCCAATTTCAAGTCATGAATTACCATGATGTAACCCTCCGAAGTGCAAATTATCATTTTTGAACTATCATGAGTTAACCTCATCCTCATAAGACAAGAAAGAAACAGTGGTTTTGTGAAATGTATAGGATTTCCATTTGGTCCATGGTCAAATGAAGTTGAATCATATTTATTTATATCCCACATATAAATGCATCCATCATAACCAGAGCTGAGTAAAGTTCGTGTCCGTGTGTCATATTCAACATTTTTAACCCAATATGCGTGTCCTCTAAGCGTTCTTAATTTAGATGAAAGATTTCTTAAATCCCATAAGGCTATGGTACAGTCATCTGAACATGTTGCAAAAAGGCGATCATCTAAATGAGAAAAAATAAAAAAGTAAAATTAGCGAAATAATAAAATTGTTGATGCTTGTTGAAAGGTAAAATGGTGCAATTAAAATAAGTGAAGGTGAGCAGGAAAAGAAGACGATCGAAAAAATGTTTCATATTTCAGTTCTTTTTAAAAGAAGTGTGTGGTTTTTAACTATTAAGGAAGCTTATTGGACCCAAGGTTGATTAAGAAAGGAAGGAGAAGGTGAACCAGGAGAGGGGAGAATGGATAAAGAAAGTTGATAAGAATTGTGTGAATGTGATGAAGGAAGAAGAAAGCAGGAAAGAAATGTAGAGACAAGGTAAAGAGAGTACATGTAATAAGCATAAAGAAGAGTGAAGGAGAAAGGGAAGAAAATTAAATTCAATGTCATCGGCCATGACAGCAATCAGGATTTTTGAAATACCTAAAAATTTGATGTAATTGAGAGCAGCATCATGGGCATTTGGAACTGTTTTAACTAATTGGTGAGTGAAAGGATCATAGGCAAGGATAGCCTTTCCTTCGGTGGCTGCTAACAAAAGAGATCCATCAGGGGTAAAACTAAGATTGAATATTCCACCGTGAGAATTAGAAGATGAAGTAGTTACAGATGAAGACAGAGAAGAGCTTGAGGATGAATTTAATGTTAATGGTGATGAATATGAAGATAAACTGTGTGAAGATGATGTATTAGAAAATAAACCTCGTTTAGATTTTCTTTCTGGATCAATTAATCCGGTTCGAGTTTTTTTTATCGTTGAGTATAAACGTCTGTAGAGAGTATCATTCCAACCAAGTCTATTGTTTGGATAATTTATTTCGTTAGAGGCTTGCCATAAGCACCAAAACTTATTACCTCGAGACCTTTTCATTGAATTTTTTTCCATCTAATGAAAAAATCGGACTTTTCCAGATAAGAGTTATAATAAGAATGAACATACAAACACAAAGGTTATCCAAAAAAGAAGTGAATCGATAGATAAACACTTAAAACGAGCCAATACTTTAAGCATCCAGTCAAGAAAATCCAAGATACACAAAGAGTAAAAGATAGAAGAAAAAAATTAACTCATTCGAATGAGAAGTTATTGAAGATGAACAACTGGAGATGATGGTTGTAGGCAAAACAGTGTATCAATGTAACAACATTTGTTACATTTTAATCGAGTTATTTAAGTGATTTATGATTTGCAAAAGTGAAAAAAATGTAACAAATTGATTTGTTGGAATGATTGAGATAATGATGAGGAAGAAAAAAGTGTAAATTAATTAAGTCAAATTGCCATTTTTCAAGAATAGAGACACAAAAAGACACAATCACAAAAAAACAAACTCAAAAAGAGAAGAAGTAAACAAAGATTCAACTTTAATACGGCTAAAAACCAATCTCTTACAGCTGTTGGAAGCAAAAAAAACCTCCTACATGTTTTTAGTCAAACCCAAAAATTACATCACATATTAGCCGATACTTCATACGCATTGATTCTCAGAAAATCTTTGAAAGCGCTTTTCAACACACATTTAAAAAATGATATTGACATATTTAGACGACTATTTATTGAAGAGTAATTTCAATTGATTAATTTTGTTGATCTATTAATTATTCAAAGTAAGCTAGAAAATTGAGTTAGCCAGCCGAGTTTCTGCTTTAGTTTCCAAGGTTTCTTAACTGAACCCAAATCAAAATGTTTGTAAATTTTTCAACAGTCCCTCAAAACGGTTGGGAATTTGAAATTTCGGTAAGGTCCTAGGATTGGTAACACTGGCGTGGCTTCACAAGACTTTTAAATTTTTATCCAATGGAATTAACTCTGAGTTTCTTGGTGAGTTGCGGTTTTATTGACACTCTTAAATTCATTAATATTTAAAAATAGTTGATCATGGACAGCCTTAAATGAAAAATAAAACAAGAAAACGCGGTTAACAAAAGTAAAGGGTAAGGGTGGCTTGAAGATTAAGGAAATGAAGGTGGCAAAGTGATGACTGATTACTTTATAATATCCTGGTTTTTTTGGTAGAAGACTATGGCATATTGGCGGGTTAATCATTATTTTTGCAAGTGAGTAAAGCATGGTTGACTCTAATTTCTTCGCCGATCTAACTATTGGCATATCGATCTAACTAGCATAATCAACTATAATTTAATATTAATGAATTTAAGAGTGTCAATAAAACTTCAACTCACCAAGAAACTCAGAGTTAATTCCATTGGATAAAAATTTAAAAGTCTTGTGAAGCCACGCCAGTGTTACCAATCCTAGGACCTTACCGAAATTTCTGGTTTGTTTTTATTTAATTTTTGTAAATCATATTCTGTAAAATTCAATAAGCTGAGTTTCAGATGAGATAAAAATATCTAAAATATGGTTTTTAAGTTTATTGTTTGATTATGTTGGATTTTGATTATTGAGATGTTATGGGAGCACAAATCGTTTTCTCTCTACGGGTCAAGAGCATCTAGCTGGACATCAATATAAAGATATCATCTAAATGAATGAAATTCAAAGTCAAGGTAGACATAATGTTTAATGGTCAACGCACATTCGCAAAATATCCTTGATTTAATGAGCTTTTATTTGTGTGTTTGCCTTTTTTGTTTTTCAATTGAAAATGATTATAATTGATCAAGTGTATTAGTTAACTTCAAGAGTAGAAGTTAAATAAATAATGAAACGAAAAACCGGTTTAAAAGCATGATGAAGGAAACATTGAGTTATTGGTAGGATTTGGTATCTTCTTGCCATGTCAAAGAAACCATCTGATCGTATGAAATTGACTAAAATATTAAGAGTTGTAAACCTTTGTAATTTTATTGGTGATTCTCATTTTAAGTCAATTAATTAATTTTCCAGTGCTGATCTAAATGTGGCCAATCATCAACTAGAAATTTAAAACAATCAAGCTTTTAGATTTGGAGATTCAATCAATCAAACTGTAGTCAGAGATTTTTTGTATTCAATATTTATTTCTTTTTGTTTACTATTTAATCTTTCCAATTACAGTTAACTCTTTCACATAATCTCCACAGCTTCAGCTTTTAATTTATTTATGTGCAAACTTATGCAACCAATTTGTTGATTTGATCATTACAAGTCAATTTTTTTGTGTGTTATATTATTTAAGATTCAGCATTTCTCGTTAATATTTGATTCGTGACAATGATTTTTAGCTGACCTAATGTCAAAACCTTCAGGTATGTAGTCTACATTAATTAACAAAGTGCATCCATCCTTGATTAGAATAGTGATTGATGAGTTAATTCTGTTTAAACATTTCTGTGCCAATACAATGTAATTTGATTTTTTCATTGTTGTCATTATGTGGCATCAACGACAATAGTTAACAAGTTGGATTTCTCAAAATCTGAAGATCTATGAGTGTAAATGAACTAATACTCAACGCTAATTATTTGATTGGTGATCAGAATTGACTATTCAATGTCGTAGTTTATGTCAAATGTTTGCACTGTGATAAAAATGGATCCTATCTGGACTCTATTTGGATTGGATCTTATGTTTTCAGATAAAAAAACAGAAAATGTATCTTCTTTTAATTTTTATTTGTTTCAATTTTCTCTGGATCTAGAATTTTATGCTTTTTACTTGTTGCTATTATCTCATGTAAATTTTAACTCAGCAAATATTGTATTCGCTTTGTTCACTTCCTCATTTCCAGTCAACGCTTTATCATGTTATGGTAAACCTCAAATCTTGACAAATCCTGAGTCAACTGCAATGTGTTAAACTGTAAGTTTGCCTTCTTGTCTTTTTTCATTTATTTATCTACTTTTCTGTATTTTTAACATTATATCTTTCTTTGTCTTGTATCTAGTTTTAATCGTTCTTGCAATCAAGTGATTTTTGCGTCCTTTGCATTTTAGAAGATGCAACCAACATATCCATCATCGAACAATCCAAATAGGTTTCATCAAGGAGTTTGTGATAACATGAGTCGACCTCCTAGAATGATGGACCCTAGATTAGCTTCTTATAATGTGAATAGGTTTGATCCCCGATATGGTAATTTTCAAACGGAACCACAACAGTTTCCACCAAATGTACCGCAAACAGCCATGGTAACACCAATTTTGAGACCACCGGCAACGAATCGCGTGAATCATTCGGTCTACTCTAGCGTAGATGTTAGGTCACAGTCTCAAAACCTTCCTTACTTAACTCAAAACAGTGTTAATGTAACTGACAGTCAGTGGAATAATGATGTACACCAGTTCAATGTAAATTTAACTCAATCTTGGCCCTCTAAAATTCAAATTAGACTCGATAAGTTTGCCAATAGATTTAAAGACATGATAGAGAGCCATAAAAAATTCGTAAGAAGGCAACGCAGACCTCAAATCAATGAAAATAATGAAGAAGGTAAGAGTATCTCACATTTTTTGATCAAATTTACAGTAACTTTTTTCTTTACAGAAGTTTGTGCTTGCTTACCACCCATCGAAACATTCACTGGAGTATCTAAACTTGCTCGCAAAAACCATTTCTATCAGGTAAATTGCTGAATTTTGTTAAACAATTTCGTACTAAAGTTATACTTTCTATCTAGTATCTAGAGAAAGGTGATTTACTTTGTGTTCAAATATTGGACCACTTGGACGGAGGCTTCATCTGTGTTGTGGTTTGCATGGATGGAGGGAAAAGACGAAATGTCCACGACTGTGATATAAGAGTATTTTGCCCATCAGCGAACTGTCAACCATTAGCTGTCACAGATTCAGAATTCCAAGATGGCTACCAAATTAATGACATTGTTAGAGTTCTGGTAGTTAATTATAACAAGTTTGATTTGAAAGTCATCGTCTCTATGAAAGAAGAACATTTACCGAAAGAACTCAAAGGAAATTTCAAAATGGTGATTTCTCCTTGTTTGAAGTTGAACATTTTCTGATTACTAAATTTCTACTTTCTAGGGCTTAATCAATGATGATGAATTACCAATTCATTATAGGTAAGGTCATTTGGTCACAACTTTTTTGATGCTAGCATCTGACTTTTGAATTACTCATTGCATAGGCGACAAGTTTCAATGAAATCAATGAATTATGATGAAATGCTTCGAAAAACTATATCATTTAACAACCCTGGTGCTACATCACATCTCGCTGGATTTTTTGAGCTTCCAACTACTCAAAGATTATCATTTTTGAGGGACTTCCACGGGTAATTATCTCAAATAATATGTATTGAAATGACGTTCATGCTTATTTTATTTTCTGTGTGATTTAGTGTCACTTATCCTGCCGACGAATATGCCAAACATTTACGGAAGTTTCAATCAACTGAAATGGCTCGTCAGAGGTAAGTACAGGGTGTTAGAAAATGGACTCCGGACGTTTGAATGATTATAATTTCGAAATTAATGGGCCGATTTTTTAATTTTTGGTATCATTAGAAAGCTGAAAGTCCAACTTAAAAATTCCATTCATTTTTAAAAAGAAAAATTCTACCCCGAACTACCAATTCCAGTCGACGCAAAAAATTTTGAAAATTTTAGGTCAAATTTTGAGGCAATTTCAGCTAATTTTACAATGGGATGAAAATTCAAGAATAGGGAAAAAATTTCGCTAGATAATTAATTGAAACAAAAACTAGGCAATATTTTTCGACATGGATTCAAGATTATTTTGACCTTAAAAAGAAAAAAAAATTCGAACCTGAAATCGGTGAAAAATTCGAAAAACCAAAACAGAAAAAAAGTTAGTTTTCGTTCGTTTTTGAGAGCGTAAGTTGTGCGAAAGTTTTTTTTTCTATTTTAATATGTTCTCTGATCGCGCCCGATTCTAACAATATATCACAAGTCTGTTTATTGTGCTCAGTTCGAAAAATATTGAAGCGCAAACATCCGGAGTTCATTTTCTAACACCCCGTATCATACTAGAGGAGTAATTTCAATTTTAAGATAATTTGAAAATCCTTCATTTTTATGTAGTGTGGAAGAAGGAGTTAAATTTCTGAAACAAGGATGCCATGTGGAAGCTCAGCAATGTCTCAATAAAGCATTGCAAATAGATTGTGATAATTTGGACGCTCTTGTGGCGCGAGGTTGTCTCTATGCCAATACCAATAATCTTATGAAAGCTGCTGAAGACTTCGACAAAGCTTTATCCATCAATCCAGAACATGCCAATGCTAGAAAATATATGTGTGAAACATTATTTGAATTGGGGAAAATGTAAGAATTACCAATTTCTGAATTTTCCTTTCAATCTAACTTTTTTTTATATTTTCTATTATAGCTGCGAAGAGAAAGGCGATTTAGACAATGCTGCAAAAAATTATCGAAGAGTTTGCCAAATAGATACAAAAAATCACGAAGCTTTAGAGACTTTAAAATCGGTTATTGAGAAGAAAGGAATGCAAAGAAGTGTAAGAAAATTGAAAATAAAAAAAAATGAACAGAGAAATCAAGATTGTATTTTTTTTTCGTGTCAAATACAGCGTTCACCTCATAATGATCTCAAAAGTATGCTACAAGACATCAAAGATAAATCATATTATGAATCATCATTTCAACTTAAAAGTTTACTGGAGGAAGATAAAAAGTAAGTACAGTTGAGTAATCCATAATTTGATTGAATTTTAATGGTTTTAATTTTACTGATTGATCAAGCTACATTTACAAGAGGACAGGTTAACAGCAAGAACAAGTTACTGAAAATTCTTTCAATTTATGGATTACTCTGTATTCAAACATATGAATTCACTTTCTGACTCCAATCTTTTTTATTTTTAGGAAAAAGAAGAAATCAAATCGTCGTAGATCGAGTTCATCTTCATCATCGTCATCATCATCTGATACATCTTCAAGCTCATCTTCGTCCTCGTCTTCATCTTCATCAGACTCGGATAGCTCAACTAGTTTGAGTTCAAAACGTAAATCTCGTAAAAGGAAAAAGTCTAGGAAATCTAAGTCAAAGAAATCAAAAAGAAAGAAGGACAAAAAACGAAAGAGTAAATCAATAAAACCACTTCCAGGGATAAAGTAAGTTAATCTGTAGAAACTCATTCGATAGAAAATTTCCTCATGTTTTAAATGTTTTTTCACTGTTTCATAATTATCTTGTCTTTTCATTTTTAGAATATCCAAATCCAAAGAGCCAGACAAGCCAGTAGTGAATGCTGTGGCATCGACTTCGCGAGCTTATGCAAAGAAAATTTCTCCAAAAATCTCGTTCACGTTTAAAAAAAATGAATCGGAAATCAAAACATTGAAATCGACTAAGCCTTTTGCATTCTCGTCAAAAGCAAGCTCACCTAAGCGTAATCCAGTCACTGAGAAGATTGTTTACAACCTTGATAAATTAAAACCAGTCTCCATTGAATTTGTTCGTAATGGACTATTAAATGATAAGTCTAACGAATCCAAAGCCAGAAAACCATCTCCAAGAAGAGTCCAAAATATAAGTAGATTGTACATACCCGGTAGATCTCGCTCTCGGTCTCGGTCTCCAAATCGCAGACGGAGATCTCGATCAAGATCTCGAGCAATTTGCAGAGCAGTATTGCGCAAATCAAGTAGATCACCAAAGGGACAAAATAAAGTCAGAGATGACCCATTCCGTGAAAGACCTTCTAGGAGATCTCCCTCGAAAGAAAGATCAAGTTCTTCTCGTGGTAAATCAAAACCTAGCCCTGCAGAGGCACTCAAAAAAGCTGCAGAAGAAGCCAAAAAAGTTGAAGCCGTCATTACCAACCAAGACTCTGTCCAAAAGTAAAATCCAGTAATCAATGAAGCTCCAAGTAAAGGCCGTAAGTAAGAGGTTAAACTGAAAAGGGTAAAAGTTTCCTGTTAGGTTTTAATTAAATCTTTAACTCAAGAATTGAAAGAGTATAATCTATTAAAAAGACCAAATAAGGTGAATATTTATTGTTCTAACTGTTAGTGACTGATTAACTTTCTTACAGTTTTTTTTGTTTCTATATTTGCAAATTAATTAATTTAAACTGTTTTCACTATTTTACAGATTGAGATGAACACCTGCATAGATTTAAAGTTCAAGTGGGATCACTCAAACAAATTAACAAGCTTTTGTGTTCATATCCATTTATCTAAATTCACTAAGGTATGACCTTACTCGCAACTGTAAAATTTTTCAACAATTTTCTCTAAGAAAATATAATCATAATCATCAATTGAATCAAAGACGGATGGAATTTCCCATCGCTGGTCCAAGTACCGACGAGTCCTAAATTATAATGGCTAATGTAGAACCTAAAATGCTCATTAAAGTAAATTTAAATATTTTGATATTCAGCTCAAGTTCATCTGCATCAATCTTCACTTAAAGATGCATAGATGATAAAGTTGACTGAAAATGCACTCACAAAGCACTTGCTTGTTATGATAAAATGAAAAAATTATGTTATCTAACAATTTGTTGCTAATAATTGTCAAGTGATTAGCAAGCAATACATACAAAGATGATTATTTGCATCCGTTCATTTGACGAACCTGGCAAAACCCTAACCCTCAACATAAACTTGAGAGGTTAGACTGTAATTCATAAATAATGGGCAAACAAAAGAACCACAGAAAAATCTGAGCCGAATTGCGATTAATCTTATTAATGGAACGATTAATAAATGAATTGATAAAGTAAGCAGTTTTATATGAATATAACTGTTACTCCAAGTAGTTCCTGAAAGTAATTGAAAGACTACAACAATCACCAATCAAATTGAATTGGTAAAAGTTAACAGATTTGAAGTAAAAGTAATTTTGTAATGAAATTAATTCCCTCAATTTGGTTCAATAGTTAATAGAATAGGCAATTCTAATTGAAGTGAATTACCGGCGTGAAAATAAAGGTTTGGTAAAAATTAAAAGTGAATTAAGTTTCCTGGTTATCAATTATGATTGAGTTTACTATTGAGTCAAGATTATCAATAAAATTGCTCTTTTCGTTTTTCCAATCAATGAATAGACTTTCGATTGTCTTTAAATTTATTACTTTTAATTATCTATTTGAGACGTTTTAGCTTTTCAATCGTCCAATTAAGAATAAATAATCTCCAAATATAGCATAAAATTATTGGAAAGTTACAATTAAATTAAAACTGTCTCATTCAATTCACATTTCAATGCAAAACTGTTGACTAAGCGTTGATGAAAATCACGATAATGACAATAATGAAAGATTTTTTCTCGAGAAAATATTCAAATTTGATTGGCATTTCTTACTTAATCTCGTGAAATTTAACAGATTAGGTTTAACTGTGAATCAGTTAAATGATTACTTTAGAAGACAATTAATCCGATTACAAGATTTAGATAGGATTAAGTTTGGATGGAGTGAGAAAATGTATGAATGGCAATCATTGCGATGCTATTATTTATGATACACGCATTATGTATATTCACGCATTATAACGAAATTACCTCTAAATTAGTATTAATTTTCATTTATGAAACCTGATTTCAATGGATTGAAAGGTCAACTGTAAGAAAAGAAATTAAGATTAGCCATTTGTCGTAATTATGATCAAATTAATCAAAGTTAATGGCAAGCAGTTTGACGGTTAGTTTTTCATCAACTGTTCAGTTTAGTTGACTTGTCTAAGAGTCAAAAATTTTATTTGATTGTGTACTAACAGGTCAAAAGATACAAAACTTTCTGAAAAGTATTTTGAATTTTAAACTTTATTGAAATAGTGAATTCGTGTTTCACATTTATTTTGTCAATGCTGAGTTTATCTCGGCATACAAATATTCACCAATCAGACTGAGAATGCCGATTGGAATGGTGTATAAAAAGAGATTGAAAAATAGCTTGTAATTTTGAATAACTAGTTGATTAAATTGATGCAAAGCAGGATTAAAACTCATGGAGATTCTAGTTAAACATCTGTACTCTTGCTTAGGATCTAGTAGCTTGTCCAATTGAAATAGTCGTACACCTTTTGCGTGGTCCAGGATACCACTTTCAAAGTGTTTCTCGTGCAATTGATTAATAATTTTGGTGGCATCTTGAGGTAGCTTTGAGTGCAATACAGTAAACCAGAGATCGGTGGGGAAAGAACCAGTTGACTGATGAAATAGTGGAATTGGTGAGCCTGGAAGAAATGCACAATAGCCGAGTTTAACGTCATAAAAATCTTCCTCACTAATAATGAAAACATATCTTTTAATCTGAAACAAATCTTTCTTTTTGCGAATCTCCACAAGGAAACCTCCCAATGTTTTGAACTGTCCTCGTCTTAAAATCTCTGTCCGAGCTCGAAGAGAACCGCTATTCACCCTGGTTCTGCATGATGGCTCTTCCATCCATAAAGGAATCCTATCACAATTTGCAACATCTTCCAGTGAATCAATTGTTTTTATGGACGCTTTAGATGTAAGATCTGTAGTGAAGGAACCAGAATAAAGTGCTGTTATGAAAAATAGTGTTAATGTGATTGAAATCCAAATGAATGACAAAGATTGACGGTTAAAGGATTTAATCTTTGATTCTTTGCGTAAAATGGCACAAATCAAAGGCCAGATGATGGGCGGAGAGTTGCTCTTAATGTTGAAAAAATTTGACTCCAAGAACCACAGAATGAAAGGGATTGAGAAAAGAAAAAGATAAACAAAACTTAAAATTATAATTGCGTCTGAAGCGAAAATCGATAGCGATTTGAAGACATCTTCACGAATTATTCCAACTTTGGGTAAGGCTGATATAATGTAACAAGAAACATCACCAAGCACTGGTCCTGGCTTGAGTCCAGTAACGGAATCGGGAATTGTTGCAAATGAATACAATTTCTCACTAAAGTCAGCTTCACCTCGTTGAATGAGTCCAATAAGGCTCGTGCAATTACCGGAATCACAATTTCCATAAGAGTATTCATTGGTGAAAACGATAGTGTAATTAATGGAATTATATAATTCTAATTGTTTATTATAAAATCGATCAAGAAGACCACTGAATTTTCTCTTAATAGGATCATAAATTAAACCTGGAGCTCTATCGCGCATACCGTATTTGAACTGAAAGTTTGGGTCCATAACATGAGCCTCTGTTAATTCAATAAGCTCAAGTTTACACGAGGAGAAATAATTTTTATGTTGATTGTTGGATATGTTTCATCACAAATCCTTTTGATCTGGAAGAAATGCTGAACTTATTTGCAGAAATTAATATCAGTAGCAAATGTTATTTCATTAGTGTAAAGTTCAGAATGGACAAGAAACAATATTCCTTTGGAACGTGAATAAATAAACTATTAATACGATAATAATAATAATAATAATAATAAGCATAATAATAATGTATCGATTTTGTGTCTCTTATTGAAAACTAAATATTCATAAAATGCAAATCAAATAGAAATGCATTTTCATAGCAAAACTATTAAAACTGGTATTCTTAGGTTTCTTTGATGAAATCTTAATGTTTTGATGTTCAAATGATATAATGTAAAACAGATTCTGGAAATTATTCTGAAAGCTATTGAAATCTAATGATCTAAAACTGTCAAAAGTCCATGGAGAATCAGACGTGTTATGAAATAAGATTATGTTTGTTCCTTATTAGCTGAACACAATCAGGTAAAGATTCAGACGTTAAAAGAGATTCAAATCATTTACTTCACGTTTGGTTCAATACCTCACGAGCAAAGAAAGAAAGCTCATTGTATTACAACATTGTAATACAACAGTGTTAGATAATAATTTGATGAAATCCCCTGTAAAATTCAATTGGTTGGCTTATTCACGGTTTCAAGAAAAGTGCTGATTTAAAAGTAACTTTGAATCAACTTTTCAGTTTAGTTGACTTGAGGAAGAGTCAAAAATTTTATTTGATTGTGTATTAACAGGTCAAAAGATTGAAAATTTTTGTTCCTTCAACTGAATTGAGGCTCGTAATTACAATTACCTTGATAGTGAGGTGAAAATACAAGAAGCGAAATAATCAGAATATTAAATTCCTCAATCAGATTGCGATTATCGAAATGTTATGAGAGCACAAATCATTTGCCTTTTTAGTTTCGATATTCATTTTTCTCTCTCTCTCTCTCTACGGGTCAAGAGCATCTAGCTGGACATATTTAATCAATGTAAAGATATCATCTAAATAAATGAAAAACTATTTGATCAAAATTATAAAACGACAGATAAATTGATAGAGAAAGAAAGTTAAAGTAAAAGTGAAGGAGAAATTTGAAAGTTAATAAGTCAAGGTAGACATAATGTTTAATGGTCAACGCACATTTGCAAAAATATCCTTGATTTAATGAGCTTTCATTTGTGTGTTTGTGTGTTTGCTTTTTTGCTTATTTTTCTTCTTCAATTTTCTGTTTTTCAATTGAAAATGATTATAATTGATCAAGTGTATTAGTTAACTTAAGAGTAGAAGTTAAATAAATAATGAAACGAAGAACCGGTTTTAAAAGCATGATGAAGGAAACATTGAGTTATTGGTAGGATTTGGTATCTTCTTGCCATGTCAAAGAAACCATCTGATCATAAGAAATTGACTAAAATATAAAGAGTTGAAATTTTATTGGTGTTTCTCATTTCCAGTTAATTAATTGATTTTACAATAATCATCTAGATGTGACCAACCATCAACTAGATTTTAATTTTCACAATCAAGAGATTTGGAGATTCAATCAATCAAACTGTAATTCTTATAAACCATTCAAAACAACTGTAAACCATTACACTTGATGTTTCAGTTATCTTTTAATATTCATTCATAATCCTTGTTGTTTTTTTATCCGATTCATCATCTGTATTCAATTTCAACGATTCACCTTGACATTATTTGTCATCAACTTATTCATATATTTTCACTGGAATAACATTTCCACCAAACTATTGAATTTGTGATTTTCCATTTTCTGTGACCAACTTGTTTACATTTCAACTTGTGTTGGTTGACACATTGCTTTCATTTCTTGCTTCAGGTATGTTGGTTATCTTTAATATCTATATTATTAAGTGTAATTGCAAATTAACATGAATTTTCACGTTGATGGCTATACATCAATTCAACCTGAAATAAAGCATCAGCTGAAAAAAAGGAAAGTCAGAAAATGCGAGCTGATAGGAGGAGGGAAAGAAAGTGAATCGTTTAATAAATCTCCTCCTTGATCATGGTGGTTAGTGTTTATGTGCGTGTTTATTTATCATCATCGACAACGGCAGCAACAATCAACTTACAACACAGTAAATCAACCTCAGCGAGTTTTACTTTTACATTTATTTCCCATCAAAGATAAAAAAGGTTCAGTGAAAGGCTGACAATGATAATCAGCTTCTCCTGTCATTCTCACTCTCTATCTATCTCTCTCTTATGATTTTTGTTTCAAGCTAGTTCAATTTTTCATTCATTCAATCAATGTTTGCTGCTAATCAATTCTGGTGTTAACAAACTCTTTCTCCTATTTTCATAATCTCAACACTAACCCTTAAGTGGAAACCCTCTTTTTACCATCGTGTTTGTGTTGTTGTTGTTGGTGCTTTTGTTTCTCCTCTTTTTGTAGTTCCAGACTGATTTGCTTTTTTGTTTTCAACTGACTATTTATTCCAACATTTTCCTTCTTACCTCTTCCAGTCAACTAATCAAGCTAATCAGCATAAAACTTTATTGAGAGAATCAGCTGGTTAAAAGCATTTTTCTGCATCCTTTGCTTTGTTTACTTGTGTCTATTACCATTTATTGCACCTCTAAATCAAACCTTTTATTTTACATTTTGATATGTCATCTTCACCACCATCAGAGACGACCAGTGAGGATAACAGATTGTTAAGTTTAGGACCAATGAGTGTTCGTGATCAACTTTACCGGTCAGCAACAAACAAAACATTTGAAAATGAACCTGACTTACCCAGTTTACCGGTTCCTGATTTACAGTCCACCCTTGCCCTCTACCTAGACACTGTAAAGCCAGTAGTTGATAGTGAGGAATATGAAAATACTGAACAAATCGTTAAAAAATTTGGCTCTTCGATTGGACCAAAGCTTCAAGAAGCACTTCTGCAACGCGCTCAAAAATCAAGAAACTGGGTAATTAATCAATTTATCCTTTATTTTCCTATCTTATGATCTAGATTTGAATTTATCCTGATCCGTGATTTAGCACCACTTATTGATTCTATCAAAAGTCAGACGTGTATCAGAAATTACAAGACAACTGCAATTTAAAAATGAAAATAATTGTATTTTCTCAATCTTGATTTTTTGTCTTTCTAATGTTAGCTTGAAGATTGGTGGCTCAATTATGCTTACTTACAACAACGAACACCGTTAATACCTTATTGTAACATGGCAGCTCCTTACCCGATTCATGAATATTGGCCACCACAACGTGGAAGTCGAATTGATAGAATATCAATGTCCTTAGCTTATGAATTAGAATTTTGGAAGATGATTCGAAGGTAAAGATTTAATCAATCATAAAAATGACTCTTCTCTAACAACGATTACCTCAATTTTTAATCTTACAGCCAAATAATGCGACCAATGGTACATAGAGGAGTTCCATGGGCTATGGATCAATTCAAACGATTATTCAATACCTGCCGAGTTCCTGGCGAAGAAAAAGATACTCTTAAATGTTGGTTTGTCACCGGTAATTAGAATTCCATTTTTCTAGTTTCGAAGGCCAATTGAATTAGGAAACCAACTTTAATGTAATAATCTTGAAAATGTAAAAAAAAGTCCAAGCGTAAATTAACAATATTCAGATAACTTAATGATAGTTCATAGCATTTTCTTGTTTGGCGGGTTTCAAGTTGTTTGTTTTAAGCTATTCTCTGATTGTTGATGATAAATTTCCTATGATTGCTTTTTATCTCCTCAACTATCAGATGCACGTAAAATGCTCTAAACATAAATGATTAAGATTACACTTGATTGCATCAGAATTGGAAGTAAATTTGCTTCTTAACAGCTAATCATTATACCTTGTCCCATGATTTCACTTTTATTTGTGAAATGATTCAATGCCGAGGAATTATGATCACAAGTCTTTTTTGGTAATTAATCAATTTTTTTCTTTTTTCTTTCCGATTTACTGTTTTTTTGGTACCAATGTTCATGTTGAAATGATGAAATCTGTTAGAGGATGAAGGACCACCAGCTCCAACCAACATAATTGTCCTCTATCGTGGTTACATTTTCAGTTTTGAAGCTGTTGACAGAGAATTGGATGAACCATTAACACCTCAAGAAATAGCATTCCAATTATTTTATATTGAAAAATGGTGCCAAGCTCAATCAACCGATGGGCCTGGAGTGGGTGCCTTAACTGTTGCAGATCGAAGTCAATGGGCAAAAAATCGCGATTATCTGATCAAATGTCATCCTCAGAATAAAACTACTTTAGATAAAATTGAACAAGCTTTGTTTGTCATAATTTTCGATGATTCCGAGCCCATCACACAAAGTGAGGTAAATCCAGTTGCAACTAATCTTTAAATATCTTAAATTATATTTTCAATTTATTTTATGGTTTTATTTGATTTACAGATATTGAGAGAAGCAATGTGCGGTGATTGTAAAAATCGTTGGGCTGATAAATCAATGTCAACTATAGTCTTCAATAACGGACTTATGGGTGCTAATGGTGACGTAAGTAATCAATTTTTGTGGATACAATGACATTTGTCTAATATTTTGTTTCATTTTTTCAGCATACACCTTTTGATGGTTTGTGTACAGCCATTTTAAGCCATTACATCATGATGTCAATGGATGAAAGTAAAGGAGTCTGGAAAGGAAGTCGAAAATTCAGGGACATGCCGAAAGCAGAACGGTTAGACTTCATCTTGGATGATCATTTGAAGGGCGAGATTGAAAATTCAGTCAAAACATTCAATCAAAACTGTTCAGATATTCAAATTGTCCATCAAACATTTAAAGGTTTTGGTAAAGCTGCTCTTCGGGACTACAAATTTCACCCTGAAGCATTTACTCAAGTCGCCCTACAATTAGCTTATTACCGAATGCACGGAAAACCTGCACCAACTTATTGTACTGCTAGTACTCGACAATATTATCATGGACGAACTGAAACATGTCGATCATGTTTCCCTGAAAGTGTTGATTTTTGTAAATCTGTAGTCGAAGGAAACTCAACAGTACGTAATCTCTAAAAACATTACATTTATTAGGTTTACTCCGATAAGAAACATTTTCACACTCTAATTTTATCCCTTTTTGAAAATTATTTTATCAAGTCAATGTCAATGTCAAAGAAGAATTAATTAGAACTGATATTTGCATCGATAGTCAGCTCAATGTCATTGAAAATCAAGTTTTTCTTACCTTTCTATTTATATTTAATTTTAATGACTCGTCATGATGTTAAGGTTGACTTGAGAAAAGGATTAATAACTTAGATTGTAATGATATATTGGTAATACTTTTTACCCCTCTTTAACCTAATTTCTGTGTCTTTCTGAATGATCTGACTTTTCGCTTTTCTTTCTTTCTCTCTCTTTCTTTCTTAGCCTGGAGATCTTTTTAATAAACTCAATCAAGCTGTAAACAAATTCAACAAATTAATGGGAGAAGCAATGAAAGGTTATGGCTGCGATCGTCATCTAATGGGTCTTTACTTAATCTGTATGGAGGAGGGACACGAACTTCCCGACTTATTTACTGATCCATCTTTCATTAAAAGTGGTGGAGGAGGCAATTATATTTTATCAACAAGTTGCTCAGGTTATTGGCATATATGTGGAGGAGTCCCACCGATGAGAGATGATGGCTATGGAACTTTCTATGGAATTGAAGATACTCAAATTACATTTTGCGTTACTGCTTACAAAAAGTGTGAAGAGACTGATCCAGAAGTCTATTTCAACAATATATGTACCGCCTTAATGGATATGCAAAAAATTTGTAACTCGTCCAAATTGTGATCCAATTCAATGTTTTTCTTCATTTATCGATCTCTACAATTTTACTCTTTTGACTACAGTTTATCGTTTATTTCCTACTCATCAAACCAAAACTATCCTTTGACTTGTTATCATGTTTATTTTCCTATTTTATTCAAAGATTGGTTCGATAACTACTTTATAATATAAAGTGAAAATCTTATAACTGTTCATTTCAATGTCTTATTTGATATATAAAAAAATATTCACAAAAGTCAAGTATTCATGAGACTAAAGAATTGCTTGTAATTTGAGGGTGAAAATATTTATAAAATATGTTTGGAATTATTTGCAAAGTTCAAAGATCATCATAACTGACAATCTCACGTTGATCCTGTGAATCATTGGACGGTTCACCTCTTCGGTTATAACTGGCGGCAATCATACCCCATGAACTTGATGGTCCTCCTGATCCTGCTGAAGATGTTGGAGAGGAAGAATTTCCATAACCAGAACTACTTGATTTTGGCGCCATTGAAAATCCTGTACTAGGCAATGTTTCCCTTTCTGGATCAGGTTGGAAAGGTTTAAATCCAGCAGGCTTATCAGCTCCAATTTTTTTGCGGGCAAGTGATTTCGATCGTTTGAATCCTTGACCTTCTCTCTCTTTATCCGGTGGTTTCGCTAATTTTATAGCTCCTGCTTTAAGTAATCTTTTTGCTACTTCTTTGGCATCTTGTTTTGATGATTCTGCGGCTGTAAAAGTTTTCAATAGGTGAATTAGTCAACAGAATAAGCAATTGGCAAGATAGACGCGTGTATCAAATAAAGGAAACATATTTTCATTTCCTCTTGAAATAAATACCTCTTTTTAGGACTGTTTGAGTTGTGATTTCAGGCTTTTCCACTTTGGGAGTTTTGTGTTGAAATAAAAGCTTTTTCTGTGAGACGGATAAAGTCAGAGATTAGATCAAAATTTTGCCAGACTTCCAGTTTCAATGTAAAAAAAGCTTACCTTTCGCTTGAGTTTTGCATATTTCTGTTGCAAAGCTTTTTCTTCGTCACTTAATTGTGAGGGTAGTTGAATGAATACCATAGTATGAATCGATATACCACATTAAATACAAAATATAAGATAAATGATTTTATGAAATGCCAAGAATTACTGGCTAACTTAAATAAGATAGAATTTTCACACTAGATATAAAAATCAAAAGCTTATCCAAATACAGTAAAGTAATTCATAACTTGGTAGTATTTCTTAGGATTAAGATACAGTACTATTTAAAATAAACAATTAATTTGATGGACAAATAAGTTAACTCGATTAATTATAAAGGGAACAAATGAAAAAATAAAAGCGTAAAACATCTTTCAAAAATATAAACAACATTCATCGATCTATCAAACCATTCGATTAAAATCGATTGTTGCATCAGTAAAACCCGCGATAATGGTTGAAGTTTAACTATTTTTGGTTTTAGCAATCAAATTTAGTTCCAATTAGGATTTCTTTTTCACTTGATTAATTTAAGCATTCATTATCTACTCAAATATTTCATCAATAGGTAGATTTTTCAATGAAGAAAAGAAGAAAAGGTAAGGACAATGAATTTGCTTATCTAAGAACTTGACCCATGAACTAGTTGCTATCATCTGCCTTAATGGACTCTTTTACAGGTATTGTATTAAGGTCCAAATAATAATTAGGTCCACCGGTCTGAGAGTTGTTATAGAAGCCACTCAGTCGTGAAATGGCTCGGCATGTTGTCTAGAGCGACATAAATCTCACATAAGAGTACATCTTGAGCTAATAAATCTTAGTTTGGATAAATTAATAATCAAAACTGATTATTTTTACTATTATCATTACATTTATATTACAAATAGTAAAAATGTCTTTATAATTGTACATCATATGATTATTAGAAAATGAAAAGGTATAAACAATTTAAAATACTTTCTTTAACCTAAAACTATAGTTTTATTGCCTAAATTTACTTCTATCACCGTAAGGATTTTTGATGTAACAGGCACAACACGAAGGAAACTCGAAATATTCAGGATAGGTTCGTTGTTCCGTTGGATGTAAAGCCATAAGACGAGCTCGAGCATACTTTTGACGACACTGTGAGGATAAACCAGCAGGAAGATTGTCATCTTCAAGGTAAGCACAAGGTTTTCCAGCTCTCGAGCAAATCTCTGTAACCACAGACTGTTTAAAGTTGTCATCATCATTCACAATGTAAACCCATCTTTTGGATTGAGTTTTAGCCATTTTGGGGAAAACAATCTTTCTTGGTCCTCCACATATCCTTTCATCTGCACTGTCATCGTCAAAGTAAGATTTACGAGCATCAATCTCTTTAACGCCAAATATGTCTCTAAACTCATCCAAATTCAATCCATAATCTGATCTAAGGTCAACCCTGGGATAGTTATCAACATTTTCACAGAAAGTATCGTCTGGATTTTTGACACACTTAGGAACACCATTTTCATCTAAATCCGGTAACAACACTTTTGGCCGAGCTTGAGGCTGCGTTACTGGTGGATTTGTCACTGTTGAAGGGGTTGACCAGATTGGCGAAGAAGTGGGGAAAACAATTGGCTTTGATTTTTGACTCCTGGTTGTAGGGAATTCGGTTGATTCATAGATACTTGGATTACTAAGGAATCGAGAATGACTTGGATAATGTCTTGATCTAAAATAATAACCGTCTGAAGGCGAACCATAAGATTCAAAGCGAATCATTCGTTTTCGATTGTCAACACTTTCACGATTGGTTCTATTCTCATCTAAATTAAATGTGGTCGTTGTATGATTAACTAGTGAAGGCAATGGGGAATGCAATGATGAGCCAAGTGTTCCAAGCCAGGCGATGATTGTGGAACAGTAAATTAAGTTAATAGGTAAATATGTCAACATAATGAAGACTGACTGACAAAACCAGTCTTTACGTATTGTGGAATAAAAATAGCAATTAAATAAACAAAAGTAAAAAAGCTTCGCTCAAACAGATTGAAGGACAACTTTTAACAACAAAAAAATTGAATTAACTTGAAATATAAAATGAAGATTCAACTTCAAACAGTCAAAGTTATCATTTTTGTTTAACCAAATTAAAAGCTGTATTTCAGCTCACAGACCTGTTTACCAGATATTGCGCATTGAAGACCTTTTATGAAATGTTTTTTTGTATCTTCAACATTTCAATATTAAAATGACGACGACATCTTTCTATTGTCTATTATTAATCATTTGTTGATCATTGAGATTTGGTAAACATGGTCTATGAATGTTTAAGAATGAAGGAAAGAATCGAGTGTAAAACAGAATCAATGAGTTCCTTTTACAAATCATTTTTCAATTATTCATCAACACGAATTTTTGCTCATTTTGTTTCTTTGATTGTGAACAATGTAACTATCATTTTGATCGGTTTGATAAACATTTACATGAAATGTTTATAATCTGACTGTTAACAATGTTCAAAACCAATAGTCAATTAACTTACAGGTTTCAATGAGTTTGTCTTTTCATTTTTGGTTGAAATTGCCTCTGTAAATTCCTATCAGCTCATGAAACATTAACTATCGTTTTCTTAATGATTTAGTTTGATTTAATGTTATTGTAGTTAACTCTTAAATTGCTTGAAAAGGGTCAGCTCAAAAGTGAAGGTTAAGATCGTGAAATATCAACAGCATTGAATCATACAACAGGTACTTTAAAAGGGACGAGATTTGCAAGTAAAGAAATTAAATTGTGATTAAGTGCTTCCAATCAACGATTGACATTATTGTAATTATGTGATTACGCGATTTATTTTTCAGTTAAAGAAGTCACTTGCATGGCAAACTTGTTTATCTGTCTAGTATTCATAAAAACAATTTTCATGATTAAATTCAAGTCCAAACAATTTGACTTAATACACGTACAAACTTTACCTTGTTTGGCTCAACGTCCTTTTAGATTGAACCTGAGGGAACAAGTGATTATTGGTTATTATTAGTAGACATTTAGGTTTATCAGATTTGATAATGAATCTTTTACATTAATTAAGCAAAGCAATCAGTCATTGAAATTAAGCGCCGAAATAAATTAGTAGTTTGTATTTTTATAAAGTCAACGATTAGTAAGTTGTATTAATAAATGAAAGATTGTTTATTTGAATTTACAGTAAACTCTATTTTAAATCATTCAGAAAATAATTAACGTGAGCTGTTATTGGTGGAAATAGACATTAATCAAGGTCTAACCGAAATTTGCGAGGGCAGCGGCAGCGGCCTCAGCACTACTGTTGAAAATATTACCGGCGTTGTTGAACCCAGTATCGGTCAAGTTACCGATAACTTTGGTTTGGTCGGCAAGAATTTCATTCTTAAAGTCAACGGCATTAGCCAAACCATCTCCAAGAGCTTGAGCAACAGTTCCAGATCCATTGATTACGGTGGCTCCTAAGCCAAATCCAGTCTGAGCAGCACCAGCAACATCTTCTAATCCTGATGCGAAAAAGTTTCCAGTACCATTGATAACAGTACCAGCAGCTTTTCCTCCTTCATTAGCAAGATTACCGAATCCATTGAAAGTATTGTTAGCCAAAGAACCAGCTCCTGTAGCGAAACCAGAAACCAACTTTGCACCAGAAGTAGCGAGACCACTGAAAGCACCTAAACCAAGTCCATTGAGGATTGAGTTAGCGATTTGACCACCAGCAGTAGCAGCGTCTCCGAACATGTTAGCTCCGGTTGCAGCAAGGTTACCCATAGTACCAGCTACATTGGCTCCAATGTTACCTCCACTTTGAGCAAGAGATGAACCGATTTGGGAACCAGTTGAAGCAATTTTACCAGCTCCTTTGATACCAGAACTGACTGCATTACCAACATTTGAAACACCGTTGGCACCGATTGAAGCTCCAGTTGAGGCGATTTTACCGGCACCCTTGATTGCTGCTGTTTCAAATGTACCAGCAGTTTTGATTCCACCTGAGGCAGCATTAGCTACAGAGTTGGCTGCTGAACCGAAACCATCAGCTACTTGAGCACCAACGTTACCAATAGCTTTGGCGGCTTGCGAAGCTATTTTAAATGGGTTGAAGAAGAATCGACCATGAACTTTACCGTTCAAAGAAAGTTCGGGTTGTTCATCACAGATCACGGCTGATGCAACAAGCAATAAGCAAAAGGCTGATACACCGAATGATTTCATTTTTTTCGTTTGATGTATTAAACTCAAGACAAATACAAGTAAATTGCTTGAGAAAGTCTTAACTTATTGATTAATTTCGAGTAAATTGTAGATTATTTATATGATTTTGTTCACATTTGATTTGCAAAACACATTTTCATTTAACGTCATTTGATCTGTTCGATTTACCATTGTAAATTGTTTTTCAGTCTTCAAATTCAGGTGCCTTTCTGTCAAAATCATCTCTAATCAATTGAAATCACTTTAGTTTGTCAAATGATCATTTGGAAATACGAATTTTGAAAAAAGCAGAAAACAAGCTTTTCTTAATCAATAGACAAGACAACTTAATTGGCATTCATTTTCCAAAATTCATTTCTATTGATGAGACTCCAGGTTGCAAGTTTAACATGATCGACCACCGAAGGTCATTTCAACGCAAACGTGTATTGCTCGTGATAAATTCAGATAAAATTTAAACAAGTCCGTTGCGACTTATTACGATAAGTCACATTTATTGGCCAGAGAAAACACTTGTTTGTGAAATAAAATTTTCTGCTTTTCTTCAGGAATCATTTCGATTTACGGATAAGTTATTCGCTTTTAGCGATTCGATCGATTTACCATTGTAAATTGTTTGAGTCATTAAGCTCGGATGCCTTTCTGTCCAAATCAACTTACTATTTCAATTGAATTGATTATAATTCATCCTGTTAATAGGAAAACTTTCACAAATAACTTGTGGTTAAAAATTATTACAAAAGCCAATAAAGCAAATTTTTATATCGTGGCAATTCATTGGGTGCGCTTGTTTTTTATGTTATATTGGTTACACCTTGTTTAACCAATCGATAAATTCAGGTGAAAGATATTCATGTGCATATTCGGTTATTAACGTAATTGAGTTTTGATCATTGTTATTTGGCAGCTCAATGGATATCGCTCTCGTTTGTCAAATATTATCGCGTCATTTGAAAATACGAATCTTGAAAAAAGCAGAAAATGAGCTTCTCTTAATCAATAGATAGACAAGACAACTTAATTGAAATGAATGATATTTTCTCAAATTCATTTCTATTGAATCATTCAAAAGCACTGAAAGGGTTACAGTAACTCAAACGCGTCTTTGGATGGCCTTACAGTTAACCGATTATCATTAAGGACTCAGTCTAAATGAGCAAAAGTAAACAAGCACACCGAATGAAGATTTCGTTACAGACATCATACAGACCGGATTATCTTTCAATCAAAAAGGCCCATCATGCAGCTATGAAGTTTTATTTTTGAAAAGTGTTTAATTTATTAAGCGGCAAGTAAATTTTGCGGTTCGCTATGAAAAAAGATTTAATTGTGAATCACAATTTGTGATCTTTAACGGTTCAAACATTACTTAGCCTTAATTAATCAGTTCAGGAAAATCAAAATCCGACAGATATTCACAAAGGATAAAAACCAAAAGAATAAGGAAAATTGCCTATGATTAAAAATTTGTTTGAATAAAATTTTCTAATGTATTTTCATACGCTGATTCCATAAATCAAACTCATTTTTCGATCAGACTTATACTTTTTTAGATATCAAAGAAAAATAACTAGAATATTGTAGAAACGATAGAGTTCAAGTAGAAGTTTGTTCCGACCTAGAACAAAAGGGAACCTAATTATTTTTATATGTTTAATCTCGACCTATCATTAGAATCGGATATTTTGATGCGCTGGATAGACCGCATGCATTTCGACACTCGTTTCGGTACAAAATCCTTAACCTAGTCTTTATCCAAGATAAGATAAGATTTTTAAATACTTTTTTTGATGGAGATTTCATATATATCATTATGCTTAGATATATCTGTGCGAATCATGATTCTATTCCAGTTTATTCCAGTTTCTCATTTACAACTCTGTTATCTGTTTCTGATCCAAGATAGCTTATATTATTAATATACGATTATATTCTCACACTTACATTGGAATTTCAAAATGTTTAACGCGAATAAATATTTGTGAACAAATGTATGAAGTTGCAAAAATTTTACTGCATAAAATGTAAATGTTTTTGGTTAATATTCTAATGTCAACAAGATATAGATGAAGATATAATACAAAAGTCTAGTCGCCATGCGAGTCTGAAGAATCGTCAGCGCTATCAGTATTTGAAATGCGGCGAGAAAAATTGTTGAGGTGAGCTTCTGGGACTCTTGGATTTGTCCTCCATCCCATCTAACCAAACCACAACATAGTTAAGATGTGATCACAACACCCCATTGTTCTCCTGCCAGGTTTGCATGTACAATAATGTTCCTCGATCTTTTCGACGCCAGTTTTTGAGTCATCGATGAGAATGAAACAAAATCTTGCTCTAACTATAACGAGATGGAATTTTCGTTTTGAGTAGCACTGTATCTCTGTTACTTCTGCACATCATTGTAGTCCCTAAGCGGTTGTACATCTCAAAGCGCAAGCATTCAGGATTGGTGCGATTTTGAGCGGTAGCAAAATAGGCTGCACAATACTTTAGCTGGAACGACCCTTTTGCAAAAAAATACAGTTCATTTAAGTCTAACTGCGGGAGGGATCTCGCAACTTCATCATACGGTAAGTGTCGATAATTACGAATTCGTACAAGTCCGTTGTTAATAACCATGTCAGCCAAGGTATTTTCTTCGAGACGAAGCATGTCCTCTACAACTTCCTGCTGTACTCCTTGGTCGGAATAAAGCCGGCATTTGAAAGCATTATATAATGCTCCACTAACTTTTAAAATCTGAGGAACCGTTACTAAAGAGTTGTTAGGATAAGTTTGACCGATGATTTTCCAAATGCCTATAATAAAAAATTGATTAGTACGCATTTTTGAGTATGATGAACATTTAAAGTTCAAGCAAAATAACCAAGACTTACTTTACAAGTGCCCATTTACAGCTTCAATTACCCATCGAACCTTACCGACTTTTCTCGACAAGTTTGCTGCTGCTGCTGTGAGAG